ACAACGTGAATTTGCAGGTGATGTTGTATCTTGTTGAATTGTCTCTATCTATGGGCAAAATATTAAGTTGTGGGCTTATGGTCAATGTTGGTTTGTTGTTGTGTTGCTATGGAATTTTGTTGTTGTTATCCTGACATTCATATTGGGTCGCATACATAACATATCAAGTTGGAGTTGATACTCGGTAAGTTGGCCTGGATTGGCAAATTAAGTTGAAGGTTTATGTCTTATTGATGCCTCAATTAAATGGCATATTTCTAAGTTGGGAGTTTTTCTCCATTGGTACCACATACATGTGCATTGTAACGAGTTGCATTCCGTGTTGCATATTTAACATGTTGTATTGTTGACTTGTGATGATTGATGTTGGTTAAAAGTTGTGAAGTGGTGATTTTATATATCTGACCTAATAAATTTGTTATCATACACTCAATTTTATGATTCGATATTTCACTCCTTCTGTTTGAATGTTGCCCTTTGTTGGTAACGTGCAGGTAATCAAGAAGGATAGTTGTTACCTTCGTTAGTTTGAGTCAGTGTTGTCACTCTGATACGTAGCACTCGGGGGGATGAACGCATATTTTCTTTATTGTTGGTTTTCATTATGTTGCTGAATTTTAAGTTGTTTTCATTAAAGACTTGTTGTCTTAAAGCCGTTTTGAGTTGGGAAAGATGTTATGGTGTTTTTAGTTGAATTTGTGAATCTGCTGCGTAGCAACGAAAGTTGTATTTTTAAAGACTAAACATGTTGTTATCGGTTCATCTGAATTTTATGTGTTATGTATCTGAACTATAGGTGATTGAATGTTGTTGTTCCCAATTTGAAAGTGTGGCATTCCATTTGTTTGTTGGAAATTTTGTAACTCTGATTTTATATAATTCGGAAGGTTGAATTGGGGTGTTACATGCACCACCTAGCATAAACATATAACTTGTTGTGGATTATTGATCATCGGCATCACTACATCAACTTGAATCAATGTATCCCACAAACTTACATTATTTTCCTTTATCAGCTGCAGGAAATAAAATGTCATAGTCAAGAGTTCCTTTCAGATACCTCAGTATCCTCTTTGTTGTTGCTAGGTGTGATACCTTTGGCTTCTGCATGAATCTATTTACCATACCTAAACTGCATGCTAATTCAGGCCTTGTGTGACAAAAGTATCTTAACGATCCAATAAATCTTATGTATTGGGTTAGGTCGGCACCATCTTCATCTGAGTCTTTCAACAGTTGCAACCTTGGTTCAGCAGGTGTCGAAGTCGAGTTGCATTCTTCCATCTCAAATCTCTTGAGAATTTCTCCTGCATATGTTCTTTGATGCATCATCAAACCTCTACTACTATTGTAGAATTCTATGCCAAGGAAATATGAAATGTCACCCAGATTAGACATTTCGAATTCCTTTCTTAGATCACCTTTGAAGTCTTCGATCTCTTTCTTGCAGCTACCTATTATTAACAAGTCATCAACATAGAGACATAGTATAAGCAATTCACTCTTACTTCTTTTTACATATACTACATGATCAGTTGTGTACTTCATAAATTCCTTCTCCCTTAGAAAACTATCAATTTTCTTATTCTAGGCTCTTGGAGCTTGTTTCAATCCATACATGGCTTTATGCAGCCTGTACACCTTTCTATCTTCGTCATGCTTCACAAATCCAATTGTTTGTGCAGCATAAACTTCTTCGTATAAGGGTACATTCAATAATGCACATCAAAGTTGATTCCTTCCATCTGAAGAAATCATTTCACCAAAAGTCTTGCCTTGTGTCGAGTTACTTCCCTTCTTGGATTCAACTCCACCTTGTATACCCACTTTACATTGATTGCCTTCTTTCCTTGAGGCAATACTACAAGTAACCAAGTGTTGTTGTCTTCAATGGACTTTACTTCTTCATTTATTGCTTTCATCCACTTTGAATCCTTCAATGCTTCAGCTGCATTGACTGGTTTGACATCTGCATAAAAATCATAATGTACCAGCTCGTCTTCATCATTGACCACATCATATGATGTAATCACACAATCTTGCAACCTTGCAGACATGTGTCTTGTTTTCTGAGCTCTGCTTGTACTTGGTTGATCTCTAACTTCCTCTTATCGAACTTCTCTTTCGACTTGAGTTTCTGGTTCTTCAAGACAGATTCTCACTGAATCTTTCTTGACATTTTCCGTCCAATTCCATTTTTAAGCTCATCTATAATCACGTCCCTATTGATCGTAACTTTCTTGTTCACTGGATTGAACAACTTGTAACCTCATGTCAAATGATATCCTACTAGGATCATTTGACTCGACTTGTCATCAAGTTTTTTTCTCAATTGATTTGGTACATGTATATATGATATACATCCAAACACTTTCAGATTACTTAAGCTTGGTTTAACATCAGACCAACATTCTTCTGGAGTAATTCCTTCTAGTTTCTTTGTCGGACATCTATTCAAAATGTATGTTATAGTCGAAACAACTTCACCCTAAAACTTTTTAGGTAAATTCTTTCCTTTCAACATACTTCTCATCATATTATGATGGTTAGATTCTTTCTTTCCACAGTTCCATTCTGTTGTGGAGTGAAGGGTGGCACCACCTCGTGCACAATCCCTTCTTTCTCACATAACATGTCGAAGTCTTCGACACATACTCTCTACCACCATCAATTCTCAAAACTTAGAGCTTTCGGCCACTTTTCCTTTTGACCATAGATTTAAACTTGGAAAATACCCCGATCACTTCACTTTTCTTCTTGATCAGGTAAGTCCATAATTTTTTACTGAAATCATCTATGAATGTGACAAAATACTTATTATCTCCATTTGAATCCACCTGGATTGGTCCACATACATCAGAGTATATGATTTCCATAGTAGCCTTCGAATTTCTTCATGCATCCTTGCTGAATTTGTTCTTATGTTGCTTCGCCTGTACACATTCCTCACACACTCGTTTGGAATATGGATTTCTAGTAATTCTGAAACCATATTTCTTATATTCAAATCTCCGATGTCTCTGAAGTTAAGACGGCCAAGTCGATAATACCATATCGACTCATCTCTACTAGCTGTAGTTGCTAGGCATTTGTGCTCCATCATATTTAGTTCGATCTTGAAGGTCTTATTCTAATACATAGGAGCCTTCATGATTAACCTTCCTCTTATGTCAACGACTTTCATCATCTTGTCTTTGATGGACACTTTATAATTTTTTGACCAACTGCCCTATGTTGAGCTAATTGCTCTTCATGCTAGGTATGTACAACAAATTGGAAATTACCGACCTCTTGCCATCTTTCCTCATAATCATAATATCTCCAATACTGTTAGCTACTAAAGTATAGTCATTTGTGAATTTCACCATGTTCTTCATTGAGGGTTTTATGTTAACAAACCAATTTTTCCTTACAGACATGTGTGATGAGCATCCTGAATACAAATATCAATGGTCCTTGAATCTCTCTTCATCTCGAGTTATGACCATCAGCATCATCTCTTCTTCTTCATACTTTGCAAACTTTGCATCACTTTCTTGATTATTTCGCTTTTCTGGACAATCACTCGAATAGTGACCATACTTTTGACAATTGTAACACTAAACGTGACTCTTTTTAGGTTTTCGACCACCATCTCTTCCTCTACCTTCAGCATCACCCCTTTGGTTACCTTGGTATGAAGGTCTTCTCTGATTCGACACAGTTCCTTCATGTTGGTCTCCTTTACCAGTCCAATTGTTATAGCCTCTTCTACCTTTGTTGTCAAACCACTTTCCTTTACCTTTTCTTGTCTCTTGCCGAGTTCGCCTACAAAGCCACATCACCCTTCTACTTGTCTGTATCTCTTTCATCCATGCTTTGCTCATGAGATTCAAGCATCCCTTGAAGCTATTCCTTCGACAAAGTTAACATGATCTTCGGCTCTTCTATTAAAACTACCACATGGTCGAACTTCAGAGCCAAGGATCTCAAGATCTTTGAAACAAATGCTCTTGTTGTTAATGTCTCTTCACAAGCCTTTATTTGATTCACTAGTTGCATAACCCTAGTAAAGAAATAATATATGCTCTCACTATCTTCCATCTGAAACAATTCATACATTCTTTTGTGAGTTTGTAACTTCACTTCTTTCACCTTCTCGGCGCCTCCAAATGGTTTTTTTTAGAACTTTCCAAGCTTCTTTTGAAAATTCTATGTCACTGACCTTTTCGAAATTGTCTAGACTCAGACATTGATGAATTATAAAGAGAGCTTTATAATTCTTCTTCTTCAATTCTTTGTATTCTGCATCTTCTTCTTCTGAAATGTCTTCTTTAAGCGGTTCTAATCCATGTTTCATAAGATCCCAAAGATCTTGACAATAAAACACAACTTTCATCTGCTTACACCAATTCTCATAGTTATTAGGTTTAAGAATTAGAAGACTTACTGGAAAATGCCCATTCAGATGATTCATTTCCATCGTTCTTGCTTGCCTTGAATCGCTCAATCGCAACTCTTGATACAAGATGTTGGAAATCCGCCAAAACCTATGGAGAATTTCTATCAATCTTGATTAACAAGATTGTTATCACCACACAATGACAATGAAAAGAAAAGAAAATTAAAAGAGAAAAAAGATTAGGGTTTCTGTAGACTTTCTCTCTGCCAACAAACTGTGGAAAATCTTTATTCACTTGCAACTGCAAATTTCTATGAATACAAGTTGTTATAATAATAGGGGTTATTCCCTCTATTTATAGTTTTAGATTAACTTTCTCCCTAAGCCAAAAATCCCAAAACTATAAAAGCCCAAAATAATTATTTTAAATTTGAATCAAAATTTGTGTGTAAACAACCTACTGACAACACTTTGATAACTACATACAACTCGTCATACAAGACTTTTTGACCACCTTGTATCGAGCAACAATCTACTTCGACACAAGGAATTACACTTTCAACAACTACAATATTTTAGTATAATAAAAACTTGACACCATACTCCATTTCCTTCAAATATGTTGAGTCAACTTACTTCACCATTGCAATTATATGCTCCATCTCTTTATTTTCTTCCAATCTTTAATCTACTCTATTTGAGTATAATTAAATGTCAATTGTATAATATAACCAAGGTGAAAAATAAACTAATCAAATGTAATAGTTTAAATATACTAAAATTAATCTTCTCAAAAAGCTCATGCCACATTTTCAATTAAAAAATAAAAACACTTCTAGTTGACAAAAACTTGTGATAGTTCAGTGCTCATAAGTGATGTTATACAATATTTCATATACTGAAGAAGTATACTTGATAAGCACAAGCAGTTTCAAGGCCTGGCTACCCTGGGCAGTTGCCCGGACTCTGGCCCAAACTTATTTGGGAAAAAAAGGTAAAAATTGAAAGAAAAAAATAAAGAAAGGGCAAAAAATGGAAAGGTTAAAAATCAAAACGGAAAAAGAAAACAAAAAATAGAAACAAAAGAATAGTGAGAAAACAAAAATGGAATCGTAAAGCTTCCGCCATTAACACCGACGACTACACCGCTCCTTTTCCGACCACCGCACTCCCCCTTAGTTTTGGTTATTAATAGTTTAATTTCAACTTCTTCTGGTTTTATTTGAAACAATCACCACAAAATTTATCTTTGGAATGTTCAAAATTTGTGGCACAAATACACTTCCATAGCTTTACAGTTTACACAGCCTAGTAATATTGTAGTAGCAGAGAAGAAGAAAAAAATATGGACTTATTTATTGGGTTTGTTTTTGGAATGTTCAAGAAATTTTTTTTATGGTAGATATATAGAGGACCAAAGACTTATAAATATATATGATTTCTTGATCCGTGTGATGTGGAAACACTAAATAAACATAAGTGTTTTATTATTCTTGTCCTTTTTCTTTGTTACTTTCCATAGCACATGTGAGGATGGAACATTTGACTTCAAAGTTAGCAACATCACACATATATGATAAGGTAATATATAAATAATGAGTTGGAATCAGATAACTACCAACCAAAACAAGTATAAAATGGAGAAAATTCCAAAAGAGATAAAGAAATTAGGAATGTGATTAGTCAAATATTCAGCTTAGTAATGTTGAAAGACCATATATTCTGCAATTTTTAATATTGCTGTCACTTTTTGGTTCTTATGATTGCTAATTGTTAATTGAGTATTAATTTAAGATCATTTAATTTCAGAGATGAGGAGATTTTTGGGTTGATAGATCAAGTATTGAGAATGTGAATGTTGTGCAAATGGAAGCCGAATTAGAACCACCACGTAATGTGGTTAATGAGTTTAATCCAAATGAAATTGTGCGTGATCCAGGTCGTAGGAAACAAGTTAATGAGTATGTCACGGATATTCAAGATCAAGTGAGGGGGACATATATATTGAAGGGTCCAATGAAACCAGATTTTCCAAGCTTTTCTCGTACTCCATTTGGAAATGTTAAAAGAGCATTTAGTAAATCGTGGTATAAGAATTACACATGATTAGAATACAGTGAGATCAAAGATGCAACTTATTGTTTTTATTGCTTTCTCTTTAAGCAACTCGGAAGGGCCGAGCACTTTGGTTTTGAAGTCTTCATTAAAAGCGGATATAGAGATTGGAAGCATGCATCTAAAAGCTTAAAAGATCACGTTGGTAGTCATAATAGTTCGCACAACTCATGTGTCAAGCACTATGATGATTATAATAATCAAAGACAAAAGTGTGGCAAGTAAGTTTGCTAAAGCAACCAAGGAATCAGAAGAATTGTATGAGATTCATTTGACTAGTTTTGTAGATTGTTCAAGATACCTCATGGCACAAGGCATGACTTTCCGTGGCCATGATGAATCTTCTACTTCTCTAAATAAGGGAAATTTCAGAGAGATGGTAGATTGGGTAAAATCTTTGAATGATCAAGTGATGAATGCTTTTGACCCTGGTGGAAAAAATTGCACAATGACTTCCGGTGACATTTAAAAGGAGCTTGCAATGTGTTGTGCACATGAAGTTACCAAGGTGATTATAAAAGAGATTGGTGATAGACAATTCTTCGTGCTTATTGATGAGTCACATGATATATCCGTCAAAGAGCAAATATAGGTGATGTTGAGGTTAGTAGTTATATTTTTCAATTTCCAACTTTCATTACCTATTATTCTCTATGCCGCCAAGTAAAATTGTTAAATTTGTTTTAGGTTTTTGAACGACAAAGGGAGTTTTGTGGAATTATTTATTGCTCTAATTCATGTCAAAGATACTACATCTGAGTCATTAAAGGATGCTCTTTATGATATTCTTGATAAGTACACATTATTTATTTCAAGGATACGAGGGAAAGGATATGACAGAGCTTTAAATATGAGAGGGGAATTTAATGGTTTGCAAAGAAAGATTCTAGGTGAAAACCCTTATGCTTTCTATATCCATTGTTATGCTCACCGTTTGCAATTGGTTGTTGTATCTGTTACTAGTAGTTGCTCATATATTCATGGTTTCTTTGAGTACATCTCCTTGATTATGACCATAAAAAGTGAATATTGTAAGAGGATGGATGCATTGAAGAAGGCACAACACCAAGGTATTTTAAATAAACTTGAGAGTGGTTAGATATCAAGAGGAAGGGGTTTGCCCCAATCATCTAGTCTCACTAGACCCGGGGATACTAGATGGGATTTTACATCATACTACATTATTTCATTTGAATAAAATATGGTCCTCCGTGTTAAATGTGCTTAGTATGGTTGACGAAGATGGACGTGGACCATATCAAGCTGCAAGTTTGATAGAAAAAAATGAAGATCTTTAAATTTTCTTTCATTTTGAAGTTAATGTTAAAGTTTTTTGGTATCACAAACGAGCTTTCAAATGTCTTGCAAAGAAAATATATTAATATTGTGATTGTCGTAGAATTAGATGATGATGTCAAACCTCAATTGGCCATAATGAGAGAGTGGTTGGGATAATTTATTTGTCGATGTCCAATAATTTTTTGTTGCTAAAGGTATTCCAGTGCCAAATATGGATGACGAAATACCGGCTCAGGTTCGTTCAAGGGTAGAAGAGAGGACTATCCCTAATCTTCATCATTATCGTGCAAAGATTTTTTATGTTTCTATTGACAAAATATGTGTGGAAATGAGTCATCGCTTTAATGAAGGAAGTAAGATTATTATTGATTGTTTCTCATGTCTTTACCCCAAGAACTCTTTCTCTAAGTTTGATATTGATAAGCTTGTTCGTCTTACTGATATTTATCATGCATAATTTTATGATGATGATCTTGGAACAATAAGGGGATCAACTTGACACTTATGTTCTTCAAGTGAAAAGACATGTTTCATTTTCTACTTGTGAAGATGTTCAAAGTTTGACTATGAACTATGATGGGTTTAATCTGTAACGTATAGTCTAAATGTAGTACTGCAAGTGTACAGCCTATCGAAGTAATATATAAGATTATCGAACCACAGAGACCAATTGTCAATCTATCAACTCTATTGCTAAGGTGCTTATCTAAGGCGAACAAGAATATTGATGTGAGTGCAGTGCACAAAGTAAATGAGCGAGGTAAATAACAGTTTAAGAGACAGGTTGGAATGTAAATCATGTAATCAGATATTGGTCCGGTCATGCGTAGATGAAACTACTTATGGGGCAGTATTTTCTATTGATAGCAAAGAATCAATTTAACGGGAACTTGTAGCTTTTGACTACTAAGAACCGAGTTTACTCTTTAAATTAAATTCCTTTATTGTCACATATAAAGGGTGCCTTCCGCGTTAAAGAGGTAAACCTATTTTTAAGAAATTGATAGTTTTGACTTAACAGAAAAGTAATTTTAACTGGAAAGATTAACTTAAAGAGACTTTTGGCTTTTGACCAAGAGTCAGATTTCAAACCTACAAACGCGTCCGAAAATAGTTCCAAAATCGTTTTCTAAAAAGGTCAATGATTCCTATTTAACCAATCAACGGCTTTCGCTCTTTTTGTTTGGTTAAATAATAATCAAGTCGTATCATTAGTTTGGACGGCTTTCGATCTTACCCAATAAACATTTAAACATAATTGACTTAAGTTAAAAGCAAAACATCCCCAGAGTATTTTCACTAGCATGATAATTGGAACACGACCATGATGACAATCATTACATCCAAACCTTTATAGTTTAGCCAGACATAATAAGTGCGAGTCTATAAAACGTGTAGACTATGGTAAGAGCATTTAGAGTCTATAAAACGTGTAGACTATGGTAAGAGCATTTAGAGTCTATAAAACGTGTAGACTATGGTAAGAGCATTTAGAGTCTATAAAACGTGTAGACTATGGTAAGAGCATTTAGAGTCTATAAAACGTGTAGACTATGGTAAGAGCATTTAGAGTCTATAAAACGTGTAGACTATGGTAAGAGCATTTAGAGTCTATAAAACGTGTAGACTATGGTAAGAGCAATTATAAGTAAAGAAATGCAATAAATTAGAACCTTGCTCCAGTCGGAGACTTGAATCTGATACAAATCTACGGAATGGTAAGGCTGGTATGATGAACTTCAACCAAAGTGCTCCAAGACTCGATTACAACTCAATCTACACCGCAATAACTCCCCGATGTGAAGAGATTATTACTTTACAGAAACTGATAGTATATGGCTTAAGATTGTACTAAGCTTGGATGAAACTAAAGAATGAAAATCGAAAACTATTTATAGAGGATCCTTGAGATGCGTAAAGACCAGCATGCCCCTTAACTTCTTTTGAGCGGGAAGCTTTTTGTGAAGGCCGCGGGCGCGGTGGCAGTGGCCGCGGTGGCAGTGGCCGCGGGCGCGGTGGCTGGAACTGCCACATCATGGGAACGTGGCAGTTGGTTTCTGGGTGAAAGTGGGCCACGTCATCGTGTTCCCTGTAGCCAGCGCGGCGCTGAACGCCATAAGTGCAGAATATCTTGAAAAACCCTAATTTCTTGGCGTTTTGGCTCGTTTCTTCACAGAAGGCTCTGAAATGACAAGAATCCTGAAAACAAAGGAAAAAGGAACATAATACGAGAAAATGATAATAAAAACTAAGGAAAACATGTGATATTTGAGTCAGAAACATAGTGCGATTTAGTGCGATCAAATCCTCCCACGCTTAGACCTTTGCTTGTCCTCAAGCAACAACTCTTAGAAGTAGATGAAAGTAAATTATGGTGTATACAGGTTTTGGGCAAAGAGGGCTTCT